GAGACATTATTGTGGAAGAAATCTGGACTAGGAAGTTTGGCCCAGTGACAAAATAGTGACCCAAACATTTTGAGGATATCTCTATTGGCCAGACACAGTGTCTAAGCTGAGCTGAAGTCATCTTCTGTTTTGGAAATTCAAATATATACATGGTACACAATGAGGGATTCTCAAGCTAAGTCGTTACATCCAGAAGGAACTCATACATTTGATAATTAATTTAATGTGATTAGTAAAGAAATGCATTACAAACATAACTTTTTAAAGGAAATTAATTAAAGAGCATGAAGCAAATACTGATATAGCTGAATTGATGGCTTCATGTATTCTGTTTCTTTTCAAAAAAAAACACTGACCAATTCTCTTAAAGTTCTTTCTGGTCCATAATTTCTCATTGCATTATAGCTTATGTAAGTAAGCTCTTGAAATACACATTTTTATTTGAAAATAAAATGTATTGATCAATAAAAGGAGGTTAGACTGCATGATAGGCACTCCGATATAGGCAGAAATAAATAAGACCTGTGCTTTAAAAATGCATAGCATCACTCATCTTTACTTTTACAATCATATCAGTGCTCAGTGGTATAAGAAACAACTGCTGGGAGCAGGAATTTCACACTAATGATAAACTTCTTGAATGAGGAGTGCTGGTTTGATACTAAAGGCCAAGCTTCAAAATCCGATCTTAAAACCCAACAATTGTACATACACATATGCACACATACACATGCAAATCAAAGGCTGCAAAGGCAAATAATTCAGCACTATGTATTTCAAATGATTTAATCTTTAGGAGGTATTTACTAGATATGTGAAAGAGACATAATTGGGCAAATCCCACAACTGGCAGTGTCTGGCACATAATAGTTGTTTCATAAATATTATTTCACTACTAATGAACATTGCTAGTAATTCCTGATATCCTTTCTGCAATACATTGCACAGAAAATAACTTTATATAATTTTAAAGTTCTCCTCAGATGGTTAGCTGTAGCATATTCTGATGTAGAAGGAAGTAATATGTCATTAACTCCAAACTTTTCATTACCTATATGAGACAATTGAAAACTGAAAAGAAGTGATATGGTCAAAATCACACAGACAGGTAATAGAGGAGAGTTGGACAAAAGAATGCCATTTTCTGATACCTAGCTGCCTTGTAGGGCAAAGACTGTGATTCTAGGAGATGATTCAAGATGCATTGTCTGGTTACCTACATCTCTCCTTACTTCTTCTTAAGCAATGAAGAAGTCCTTTTTAGGATTCATAAGTAGTAAGCTAATAAAAACTAAATGTAAATAGATAAGGCTATTAAAAAATTAAGACAGGAGTCCAAAAATAGAACGTTATCATTCCAAGTTAAAGGCAGGCGAAAATGGTCTCATTTGCCTTTACCCCTGCACTTAACAGATCAAGTGCTCATTAAATATCTGCTGGAATGAACTGAAGAAAAACATTCCTGCATCTTCAGTGGATTGTAGGGTTTAACGGTAAGGAATTTTCCCCAAGGCTTCCATTTTGATCAACTTCAACACAGTTTTAACATCCTGAGCCTCATCTCTCGTAATTAGCTGAAACTGTTAGAAGCAACAGACTGCGCCAATCTGGCTGAGCTACATTACATCATATCTTAGGATGCAGTGCTGATACAATAGATGCAAAGGAATATATTTCATGTAAAATGCACTTAAGGGCTTCAGTGGCATGCCCTGCTTCTCCCCACCAAAAAGCAGGAAGAAATGGACAAAAACAGAAATATAAAAACAGAGAGAGACAGACTGGCTACTTGATGAGCATATTATACTCCAACTCAGCTATGCTGTACATCTAATGAAAGAAGATGGCAGCCAAGAGGTCATCCATGAGGCCAGGCATGGTGACTCATGCCTGTAATCCTGGCACTTTGGGAGGCTGAGGCAGACGAATCACCTGAGGTCAGGAATTCGAGACCAACCTAGCCAACAAGGTGAAACCCTGTTTCTACTAAAAATACAAAAATGAGCCAGTCAAGGTGACATGTGCCTGTAATCCCAGCTACTCAGGAGGCTGAGGCAGGAGAATCACTTGAACCAGAGAGGCAGAGGTTGCAGTGAGCTAAGATCATACCACTGCATGCCATCCAGCTTGGGTGACAGAGTGAGACTTCATCTAAAAAAAAAAAAATAAGTCATCCATGGATGCATAGAAGAAATTAGAGCCATGAAAAAGTAGGAAGAGTTCATTCCAGGGATTGGATATATGATATATACAAAACAGCGTCCTTATCCTCAAGGTACTTACAAGACTTTGTGGGGAGGACTTTCACTGTCTCTAGTACCACTGACAAAATTATGCCTGTTGGGCTGACTTAACCTGCTGTCATTAAGGAATCCTTTTTCTCTGACTCTCCTTTTTCTCAGTTTAAATGCATTAATCATCCTTTTCATTATGTTCCTTCTTGTCGTGTAGATCTTCTTGGAGGAGAGAAGATGTAGCTATTCCTATGCATGTAGTACTGTTTCTCATGAAAAATTTAAAAATGACATTTCTAATTTAGACATCAATCTCATGAAGTTGGCTAATGTCTGAGTCTATCATTGAGAGATAGAACCTCTCTTGTTGAGTTAATAGAATCAGCTTTCTAAGTCTGTTCACTGAACTTGTGAAAGACATTCTGTGAGAACTCCATGGAAAGAGACTTGCTCATGAATAACTACTATAATATCTTTAAATTCTCAGACACAGAATGTAGAATAATGAATTAGTAAGGGTTTACAGTTAGATAAGTGGGTTAATTCTTTATCCATGCAATGTGTCATATTTATAAGAGACCATGGGTACTGAGCCACTTGATTTCATCCTCTCACTGAGATCGTAACATATATCAATATTTTATCCCAAAGAAACACTTAAAAATTCTATGATTAGAAGAGCCACAGGAATACTGGAGCTCAATGTAAAAGGTGAAGTCAAACTTCAGTTTGTAGTGACATGATTAGCATCAGTACAATTTCTGCTTTTTAAGAGCAAAATCAAAATATAGAACATTTCCACACTGAAAAACTGTAATTGAGGAAAGACTTTTGAAGTTCACTGCATTTCAACATATTGTGTGAATACTTTATATAATTTGGAAACCACAGCCTTTTAGTTTTAACACCATTAAATTGAAGCTATTCTTAACATTCAGTAATGGTATACTGTGTAAGGGAAAACTTTTGAAATTGCCATCATATTTGTGATTTATAGAAGTTAGAATTTCTTGGCTCTGGTGTGGAATTTGGCAGTCTGGATTATTGTCTTCTTTTTCAGGGGAAGATCCTGTTATTAAACTCTCTTATCCTTGAGTCCTCCTCTGTCAAGTAGACAGCAGCCATCTCCTATGGCTGTGCAAGGCCTTAACAAAATAATCTCAGTAAGAGTAGCTCTTACATAGGTAACAGCTAACATGCATCAAATGCTTACTGTACTGTTACATAGCAAACGTTCTAATATTAGCAGATATTATTAAATTATCTATTTTGTGAGCCGCCCCATTAGTTGATATTTAAATAGATTCAGAACAGGTATGCTTTGGTGGCAAGTATTTACATTAAAAGCCAGCTGAATTCTACCCTTATTTTTGCCATTTTTCCAGTGACTTAATTATCGCAATAAATTCTCATGACTTAGAGGGTACATTTACAGGTCAAATTCATTGCTGTAACTTTTTATAGCAAACCTATGTCTTCTAGTTTACTTCTTCAGTAAGAAAATAATGTTCAATAATAATTCTTCAATAGATCCTCTCCTTAATTGAATTCAGGCCCCTATTATCAATCATCTTGGTTGGACAATCATTTACTGTCTCTACCTTCCCTCATTCAGTCCTTTGACAATGCACTCTTCAATCTTTAGACAGTGTTGGTTTCACTCTTAAGCTAAATAGTTAAAAAGTTATTTCTCACAGGATAAAGTGTGAACTTTCTAATACCATTTACTGAAGAGGCAATCCTTTCTCCATTGTGTAATCTTGGCATCTTTGTCAAAAAAGTTGACCACACATTGTGCACATGTTATTTCTTAGCTCACTATTCTGTTCTGTGTTGTTTATGTGTCTGTGTTTATGCGAGTACCAAACTGTTTTGATTACAATATCTTTGTAATATAATTTGAAATTAGGAAGTGTACTGCCTCCAACTTCGTTCTGCTTGCTAAAGATTGTTTTTAGCTATTTGAGGTCTTTTGTGATTCCTATTCTTTTTATGTTTTTCTATTCCTATAAAAAATACCATTGAAATTCTGGTAGAAATCGAATTTAATCTGTAAATCACTCTGGGTAGTATGGACATTCTGACAATATTAATTACTCTAATTTATGAACATAGGCTATTTTCTATTTAATTATGTCTTCTTCAATTTCTTTCATCAATGTTTTATAGTTTCTAGTGTATAGATCTTGCACTTCCTTGATTAAATTTATTTCTATTCATATTTTTGATGCTACTGTAAAGGGAAATGTTTTCCTGATTCCTTTTTTGGATAGTTTGTTATTAGTGTATAGAAACTCATCTGGCTTTTGTATACTGATTTGTATCCTGCAACTTTACCAAATTCATTTATTAGTTCTAGCAGTTTTTTTGGTGAAGTCATTAGGGCTTTCTATGTATAAATTAATATACTCTACAAACAGAGACAGTTTTACTTCTTCCTTTCTGATATGGATGATTTTTATTTTTTTTCTTCCTTAATTGCTCTGGCTAGTAAACCATATACTTGATAAGGGGTTAATATCCAAAATATTTAACAACTCATAAAACTTGATAAGAAAAAAAAATAATCTGAATAGAAATGGACAAAGACATGAATAAATATTTTCCCAAAGAAGACATACAAATGGCCAACAGGTATATGAAAAGGTGCTTAATGTCACTAATCATCAGCGATATGCAAACCAAAACCAAAGTGAGGTATTATCTCACATCTGTTAGTATGGCTACGATCAAAAAGACAAAAGAAAAAACATGCATTGTCAAGGATATACAGAAAAGTGAACCCTTGCATATTGTTGATGGGAAAGGAAATTGTTATTATAATTGTTAAAAACAGCATGGGGATTCTGAAAAAAATATATAAATGGAACTATCATATGATCCAACAAGCTCACTTCTGTGTCTATAGCCAAAGTAAAAATCACTATCTTCAAGAGATGTTTGCCCTCCCATGTTCTTTGCAGCATTATTCATAATAGCCACAACATGAAAATAACTTAAGCATCCATCAACTGATAAGTGATTAAAGAAAATGTGATTGATACACACAGTACAATAATATCAGTCTTAAAAACAAAGTAAATCCTGCTGCCATTTGTGACAACATGGATAAATCTGAAGGATATTGTGTTAAGCGAAATAAGCCAGACAGAGAAAGACAAATACTGCATGATTCTACCTATATGTGGAATCTAAAAAACAATTCAGACTCAAAGTAACAGAGAGTAGAATGGTGGTCACAAGGGGGTGGTAGATAGGGTAAAGGAGAGATTGGTGAAAGAGTACAAATATTCACTTACAAGATGACTTAATGGACAACATGGTAACTATAGTTAGTAAGAATGCATTGTATCCTTAGAATTTGCTAAGAAAGGTTTCAAGTGTACTCACCACACACACAGAAAAAAATGCTAACTATGTGAGGTAGTGGCTATGTTAATTAGATTGACTGTGGTGCTTATTCTCAACATACACAAACATCAAATGATTACACTGTACACTTTAAATATCTACTGTGTTTGTTAACCATACCTCAATGAAACTAGGGAAAAAATTATGCAACTGAAAAATATCCATAATCTTACTAGTATGAATTGTAAGGCACTGAATGGAATGCACCCTATGCCTCCTATATAATTGCTGAAGGAAATAGCTGACAGGTCCCCTCTTCCACAAGGATTCTCTTCCCTCTTTACCCAATTCTTCTGTTAAGTCTTCTGTTATATTTTCTACAAAAATCTTATGATTTTCCTTTCATATTCCTTGCCATTATTTATTGTTATCACTTAGCTATCTGAATGTTCAGCTAGGCTGTCAGCTCTTGAGAACAATGCACCGTGTCTGTTCTGTACATCTGTGTTCACCAAGGCCTAACATACAGCCTAGGCTGGAGTAGACACTATAATAATTGTTAGATGATGGAATAAGGGATGGAGGGAAGACCAGAAAAGTGTATCCAAAGTGATGGTATTCGTAATTATAATACTAGTGGATTAGACAGTTTAATACAATGCAATGTCTATATTATAGTTAATTTTGATTCATAAATCTTAATCTTAAATTTTTTATTTATTTTATTCTCTCCCTAAATACCTAAAGTGCTTACTGATCAATGCATCTTACATCTAAATTTTATTCTCAGGTTTAGCCTTTATAGACTAAATTTCAGAAAATGAAAAATATTTAAACTGCTATATTGATTAGTATAGCCTTGAATATCACATACTTAAAGTTCAACTGCAATAAATCTCACCAATACAGTGACCCTCCTGTAGATTTGGCCTTTCATTTATGTTTCATAAATTTTGTATTTTTGACTAAACTGGATTTTTCCCTAAGCACTCTTTATTGTGTATAACTACAGGGATCATGAACCATCTCATCACAGAACTGCAATTTCTGAAGATTTTCAGGTGTTCTGGGCTAAGATTTCAGGATGTATAAAAAGGTGATAATAGAAAAGATGCCTAAATAGTTAACTGAAAAAACGAGTAGAATGTCTTGGCTTGTGCTGCATTTTAATGCATATTTTCATGAAGTTAAAATGAACAGCATTTACAAATTCCAGAATGAATTACACGTTAGTAGCAAGATCTAAAAATCACATTGTGGAGTCTATATTTACAAATGAATAAATTGTAACTGGCATTCACTTAATGGAGACACCTACGATTTTAGCAGACTATGATCCTAGTATCCTAAAATGTTGTGAACCAACAAACTAACCATTTAAGTAACAACATCCTTCATCTATTAAGACAGATAGTTTTAGTACCTCAAATCAGATTTTTCACAGGCATTTGGAAGTACTTAGATTTATTTCAGGAGACTTTACCCTTATGGACATAATATTTTGTGGTTAGAATTGGAGAAGAGGCATAGGCTGTCTTTATCAGCATAATATTTATGTATAATCATAGCAGCCAACATTTACTAAGTATTCACTGTGTACTGGTGATTTAATTACAGTATCTCTCTTTATCTCATGCACACAAAAATCAAAGAATGATAAAGCCAACTACTTCTAGAGAAAAGGCAGAAAAAATAAAAAAAAATAGAAAACAAAAAGGGGTGGGAAATCAAGTATAAATTATATGCCACTTTAACATTCTCTTTTAAATCTGAATATTTTAAAATTTAAGAGAAATGTTTTCATAACTTTTAAGCTGAAAGACATAGATTTTTTACCATATAAAATTTCAAATACTGTGAATCATTAACTCATAATCATTTGTTAAATGGGTGTGAGGTCAAGCAACAAATTCTCAAGGAAGAGAAGAAGGGGAGGGCAGAGGGAAAAGAAAAAAGAGGTGGCAAAAGAAAAGCATGCTTAACCCACGAGGGACAAAGCTAGATATACACAGTTCTGGGACAGAAGGCTTAGAGAAGATGAGAGAAGAAGGAAAGTCAGAAAAAAAAAGACAAAAAAAAAACAAATATGGATTGAAAGAGAAGCACTGTCAGAGGCTTTGTAAACAAATTAATCTTAAGGTGAGTTTTAAAAAAAGAACAGTCATCTAGCCAGTGTCTGTGAGAAACAGGGAGCTGAGACAATTTTCTTATCAGGCTGGTTAAGTGAGGGCAGTGAATAAGATAATGATCCTAATTCCAATTAATTTTCTGAAGAGCTAATGCTTCACCTGGCACCACGTTAAATGCTTTTCATGTATTATTTAATCTTTACAAAAATTCTATGAGTTAGGTGTTAGAATTATCTCCATTTTATAAATGAGGAAACTGAGGTACAGAGAGGTTACACAGCCTCCCCAAATCACATAGTGGAGTAGTGGATAAGAGATAAAGATGGAAACCAACTCAAACCTATCTGATGACAAAGTCTGTGTCCTTAATTGCTATGCTAAACTGCTTCTCATTGATATTAATGAATATGAAATTGAAGCAGAGTGGTGTCATGATTTAATATTTTATATGAGTAATAGACTAATGTAATTTTAATAGCACTTTGTAATTTATAAAATGCATTCACACACACAATGTTTCACTTGGGTTTTAGAATTCCTATGTGGTAGCTAAGGATTACCTTTTTCTAAGTATATCAGTAAAGAAATTTATGTTCAACAAAGTAACATTTAAGGTCACAAAATAGATGTCAGTATGGTAGAAGGGAAAAAGCTGGCTCTATGTATCTGAGAACTGTGGCCCTGCCACTCAATAAATAAATGTTTTGGGACCAAAAAAATACCATTTCTGACTAGTCTATACCTGAAAAATGGAGATAGAAGTCAAACTTCTCACAGTCTTTGGGAAAATAAAACCACTTAACCTACATGAGTAACTTTGGTACATGTAGGCATGCAACATATGCAAATTTCTTCATCTTCCTGTGATATTGGGTATCTCAGAAATAGCCCTGGAATCAGGGTCAGGAGATCTGGGATCTTATCCTCCTCATGCCTTTAGCCAGCGATGGCATGGAACCGTTACTTTACATTCATTTGTAACTATAGGTTGATAAACTGGCTCTCAAGAAAAAACAAAACAAAACCCTGTTTGTAGCATTTGCTAACTTCAAATAACTAGCACGATGTCACCAAACATGGAACAGAGAAGAAATAAGCTCATTTTGTTTCCATCAATGGGTAAGAGCTGGCTCTAGCACACCATTGAGTAAATTGAGTAATCATGATATTTGATGAGTGTTTTTCAAACTTTTGTGAAAGAAAAAAACATATTTTTTGATGATGTTGACATCGTGTAGAACTTAAATGCAGAAACCCAAGATGATTAGCACTCTGCTGGTAGAGTAGGTTAGTGGAGCACAGAGCCCTGCCCTAAACCCAGCTTCTCCCTTCCTCTGTGTAGTTCCCTAAGATATTGCTGAAGAACATAATCAAGTGGGTCATATCTTAAGATATTTGTAGGACTCTCATTCTATGATACTATATTGTATGATAGTATAAGAAAAGTTTTTTTATTTGATAATTTTTAGAACTGATTTGCTTCTATATATTTGTATCACTTTAGTAAACCAATTAGATTTCTAACCAATTCAATACAGAAAATAATTAGGATATTAAAAAACCATAGTCTCCTAGCTAATTGTGTGCCTAATCAAATGACCACTCCTATTCAGAATCAATAACCACACTATCTCACAGTGACATTGAGTCTTTCATAGCATAGCTATGGCTAGGATTGCAAAACTTCATATGAAATGACAGATTTTAAGACAGCAGGGAATCTAGTTTCAAGCAGGGAGTGGTAAAATAGCAGGTGTCAGAGTATTGGAGAAACAGAAAACATTTCCTAGAAAAACCATTTTATAGTTGGTATAAACCATTTTATAGTTTGTATAAAACATTTTTTTCATCCTGAATTTCATCCACCTTTAACACAACTCTGTGAGTGTTTATTCACCTCTTAAACTCACCAAGCTTCTTCTGACATTAGGGCTTTTCCAGATGCTGTTCCCTTTAACTAGAAGTTTTTGCTGATCCTCTTTAACTGGTTGACATTACAAGATACTTGTGGAAGCTTCCTCTCTCATCGCTCACTATGTATGTGCCCTGGTATGCTTTCCAAAACCCTGTACTCCTTTGTAGAATTACAAGTAATTAGTTTTGTGGCTTTTTTTATACATATGTCTCTTCCTAGGGAAGTGGAATTTCATGAGAGCAAGAATATTGTTCCTCTCTATATATTTTCTATTTTTTAACACTGGATTGCATAGTGAGTGTCTGAAACATACCAAGCGCTCAAATAATCTGTTCATTCATTCACACACACACACAAAATAAACAGAGACAGATGATGATGGGAAGATGGTAAGGTAAGAAGCACCAGAAATCTTTCTCCTCAACTAGACAATAATTTCACTGAAAGAATCTGTCTGATGTAATTGTTTTGGAGTCTACTAAGGGCTTGTTACTTCCAGGGAAGATTGAACCATACACTGGTCAATTTTAGTTCATTTCGGCTCTTAACAGAGTAGCAGTTACCCATCCCCTGACTGCTCAGCACTCTGGCAGGATGTTCATGGAGCAGCTTGCACACAGCTTTCAGGAACCAGGATAGGCAAGAAGGATCCTGTCTTCCAATTTTAAGAAATCTGTGTTCTATTTATCATCACAGAAATACAGACAAAGAGACAGTAGCAACTGTTGCACATCCCTCCAGTGTTGCAAGCTCCTCCTCCTCTGACCAAAGTAACTTCCAAGGGATGTAAACAGCCGGTGCCTCGCCACCAACTTTGTATTTCTTTTTATTTTCCCACTCCTGAGAGTCAAGCATTAAAGACTAGGACATTCAAATTCAACAGCAACTGCATATATGGGAGGATATAGAAAGTCACTATGCATGCCAGGTAAATGTGCAGGCTCAGAAAAGACTTAATAAGACCTTAAGCTGACACCTTATGCTAATTCTGGGCACAAAAAAATAGCCTATAACAATTAAAACAAAACAATAACAACAAAGACAGCAAACCCTGAGGAAGATAATCTGATTTTCAGATTTGCCTCATTATTAGATTCAAATGTTCATTTTTCAACAAAAAATTACATGATATACGATGAAACAGGGAAGTGTGGTCCATTTGAAAGAAAGGAAAACAAAACCAGAAAATATCAATATAAAAAAAATGGATGGCAGATCTACTAGACAAAGACTTTAAAACAACTGTCTGAAAGATGCTCAAAGATCTAAAGTAAGATATAATGAAAGTCAAGAAAATTATGTATGAACAAAATAGAAATATTAATAAAAATACAGAAAATTTGAAAAGCTAAAATAAAATTATGAAACAAAAATGTATACTACCCGAAATAAAAAATTCACTAGAGAAATTAAAAGGAAGATTTAAGGAGGCAGAAGAAAATATCAGCAATTTTGAAGATAACAGAAGCTACAGATTTTACAAATAAAAATAATTAAGTCTGAGACACAGAAATAAAAAAATAATTGAAGAAATGTCAACATAATCTAAGGGATCTGTGGGACACCATCAAGCAGATAAACATATGCATCATTTTCTAGATGGAAAAAAGAGAGGGAACAGGGCAGAAAACATTATTGAAGAAAGAGTGGTTGAAAACTTCCCAAATTTGATGAAAAACATGAATTAAACATTCATGAAGCTCAACGAATCCAAGAAGATAGCCTCAAAGAGACATACACTGAGACAAATTACAATCAAACTGTTAAAAAGTCAAAGGCAAAGAGAAAATTTAGAAAGTAGCAACAGAGAAGTAATGTGCCACACACAAGGGATTCTCAATAAAATTATTTGCAAGTTTCTCATCAAAAGTTAGTAGGGTGATACATTCAAAGTGCCAAAAGAAAAAAAAAAACTACTGTCACCTAAGCATCTAACATTTTACAAATCTACCCTTTAAAAGTGAGGGAAAAAATTTAAAAGTTCCCAGACAAAAGCCAAGCAATTTCATTATCACTGGACCAGCTCTGTAAAATATATTAAAGTGAGTTCTGCAAGCTGAAATGAAAGGACACTGAAGGCCTGCAATATAGTTTGGTTCTGTGTTCCCATGCAAATCTCATCTCAAATTGTAATCCTCCATGTCAGGGGAGGGACCTGGTGGGAGGTGATGGGATTATGGATTTGGATTTTCCCCATGCTGCTCTCTTGATAGTGAGTGAGTTCTCATGAGAGCTGATAGTTTAAAAGTATTGTGCTTCCCCCTTTGTTCTCTTTCTCTCCCGCCACCATGTAAGACACACCTTGCATCCGCTTTGCCTTCCACCATGATTGTAAGTTTTCTGATGCCTCCTCAATCATGGAGAACTGTGAGTCTATTAAGCCTCTTTTCCTTATAAATTACACAGTCTCAAGTAGTTCTTTATAGCAGTGTGAAAATGGACTAATATAGCATATAAAATATAAAGATCTTAGTAAAGGTAAATATATGGGAAATTAGGAAAGTTGGTACTATTGTAAAAATGGGGTAACTTCATTTTTTGTTCTACATGATTTAATATTTTCTTAAAAAATTAGTATAAAAGCTAGTGTTATTGTAACATTTGTTTTTCATGCACATTTTTTACATAGTTTAATAGACTAATGCATTAAACAATTATCAGTTTGGGCCAGGCATGGTGGCTCACACCTACAACCACAGCACATTGGGAGGCTGAGGCAGGTGGATCGCCTGAGGTCAGGAGTTTGAGACCAGCCTGGCCAACAAAGAGAAACCCCATCTCTACTAAAAATACAAAAATTAGCTGGCTGTGATGGCACATGCCTGTAATCCCAGCTACTTGGGAGGCTGAGGCAGGAGAATCACTTGAGCCTGAGAGGTGGAGGTTGTAGTGAGCTGAGACTGTGCCATTGAATTCCAGCCTGGGCAACAAGAATGAAACTCCATCCCAAAAAATTAAATGATCAGTTTATGTTTCTTAAACACACAAAGTGAAAATACATAATTTTGTTACATCAAATCTGAAAGAGTGGGGATAGAGCTGTTACAACAGCAGAGTTGTTTGTTTTATTAAAGTTAACCTGGTATAAATCAAAATAAAAATGTTATAACACTGACGTTAAATGTAATTCCCATGATGACTATAAACAAAATAAAGAATAACATGAATATAAATGAGAAAGAAATCTAAATATGGCTTCACTATTTAAAAAAAAATCGATTAAACACAAAAGAAGACACAAATTCAGGTAACGAGGCAAACAAACAAACAAACAAAATAACAGTTAAAATGCATACAGACAAAAAAGATCAAAATGACCAAAGTAAGTACCTGCTTATTAGTAATTACTCAAAATGTAAATGTATTAAACTCTCTAAGAAAAAGAAAGAGATTGGCAGAATGGATTAAAATATGTTATCTAATGATAGGCTGTCTGAGATACACACTTTACATTCAAAGATACTAATAGGTTGACATTTTAAAGACAGAAAATTTACAGAGCATAGTGGTTCATACCTGTGCAGCACTTTAGGAGGCCAAGGTAGATGGATCATTTGAGCCCAAGTTCAACACCAACCTAGGCAACATGGCAAAACACTGTCTCCACAAAAAATTTAAAAAATAATTTAGCTGGGTGTGTTGGTGCACACCTATAGTCCCAGCTACTAGGGAGGCAGATGTGGGAGGATTGCTTAGGCTTAGGAAGTTGAGGCTGCTGTTATCTGTGTTCATGCCACTGCACTCTAGCCTAGTCAACAGAGACTCTAACAGAAGACAAAAAGAAAGAGAAAAAAAAGAAAACATATTTTGTGGTCTCTTTTGGTTGCTATTTGAGATTTTTAACATCAGAAAAAAATGGATTTTAATTTTAAAAAGTCCACAAAAGAAAAATGCCATTATATATTAATAAAAGTTTCAATACAGCAAGATGACGTGATGATTATAAAAATTTATGTGCCCAATAATAGACTCTTAAAATATGTGAAGCATAGGAAAGGAGACAGAGCAATATAGCCAAATAGAACTTTCTGGCAATCATCCCTGCCACAAAGGAACATGAAATTGAACAACTGTCCACATAAGAAAGCATTTTCACAAAAAATAAAAATCAAGCAAGTGATCACAGTACCTGGTTTTAACATAATAGCAAGAAAGCAGGCAATGGAGAAGGTAGAAAAGATACTCTTGAATTGCTGATGCCACCCCTCTACCATCTTCCTATCAATGGTCATATGGCATGGAGGAAAAATCTGTGTTCTTGGGGGAGATAGAATGCAGTGATGGTGAGACTTTGTATAGAACACAGCACTACTATATTAGTCCCTTTTCATGCTGCTGATAAAGACATACCTGAGACTGGGCAATTTACAAAAGAAAAATGTTTAACGGGCTTACAGTTCCATGTGGCTGGGGAAGCCTCACCATCATGATGGAAGGCAAGGAGGAGCAAGTCACATCTTACATGGATGGCAACAGGCAAAGAGAGAGCTTGTTCAGGGAATCCACCCATTATGGAACCATGAGATCTCATGAGACTTATTCACTATCATGAGAACAGGATGAGAAAGATCTGACACCATTATTCAAGTCACCTCTTGAATGCTTTGTTGCTTAGAAATTACTTCCGCTAGATACATTAAATCATCTGTCTCAACTTCAAAGTTCCACAAATCTCTAGGACAAGGGCAAAATGCCACCAGTCTCTTTGCTAAAACATAACAAGAGTCATCTTTGGTCCAGCACCCAACAAGTTCCTCATCTCCATCTGAGACCACCTCAGTCTGGGCCTTATTATTCATATCATTATCAGCATTTTTGTCAGAGCCATTCAACAAGTCTCTAGCAAGTTCCAAACTTTCCCACAGTTTCCTGTCTTATTCTGAGGCTTCCAAACTGTTCTAACCTCTGCCTGTTACCCAGTCCCAAAGTCTTTTCCACATTTTGGGATATCTTTTCAGCAGTGCCCCACTCTACTGGTATCAATTTATTGTATTCCATTTTCACACTGCTGATAAAGACATACCTGGACTGGGCAACTTACAAAAGAAAAAGGTTTAATGGACTTACAGCTCCATGTGGCTTGGGAAAACCTCATAATCATGGTGGAAGGCAAGGAGGAGCAAGTCATGTCTAAGATGGATGGCAATAGGCAAAAAGAGAGCTCAGGCAGGGAAACTTCCCCTTATGGAACCATCAGATCTCAAAAGACTTATTCAGTATCACAAGAACAGCATAGGAAAGACCTGTCCCCATGATTTAATTACCTCCCAGCAGGCCCCTCCCAAAACACATGAAAATTGAGGATGATATTTTGTTAGGGACATAGTCAAACCATATCAACTAATAAGTCACAGCAAAAAGCAACACAGAGCAGAACTCGGTGGGTACCAACAGAGGGAGCATTTAGACTAGCTAGAGGGAAGTCACCCATCTCAGCAGTAAGAACCTGAGTTCTGGCTAGCCCACCATTGTGTGCTAAAGTGCTCTGTGGTCCAAAGTAAACCTGAAAGGCAGTCTAGGCCACAAGAACTGCAATTCCTGAGGGATCCAAAATGGCCAAATAGGAACAGCCCTGGAGTGCAGTCCCCAGCGAGAACAACACAGAGGGTGAGTGATCACCAAATTTCCAAAAAGTTTTTAGTGCCAACAGACCAGGAGATTCTCGGGCTGAAAAGTTCCACAAGTTTCCAGCACAGCTGTTTCAGCCAGTGCGGCGGGTCTCTGCACAAAAACCCACACAAATCTGGGTGGCCATTTGAACTGCCACCTAGAAAGCCTGGGAGACAGAGCCACCCATTCAACTGAAAAAAAGGAGGCTGAAACAGGAAGCCAGGTGATCTGGCACAGTGGATCCCACCCCCACAAAGACCAACAATCTGCAACACTCTGGATTGAGAGTTTCACAGCAAGTGCAGCTGGACCCAGGATGGTCCAGCTCTGTACGGGGAAGGGTGTGTGCCATTACCAAGGCAGTACATCACTACCAAGGCAGTCCACCATTACCGAAGCAGTCTGCAATTACAAAGGCAGTCCACCATTACAAAGGCAGTCTGCCATTACTGAGACTGCCTGTCATTATCGAGGCAGTTCTAACTATTCCTCTATAAACAAAAATGCAAGGAAGTTCACACAGCAGCTGAGCAGAGCCCACAGCAGCTCAGCAATGCCTCTACTAGCAGACTCTGACTGGGGTACCTTCTTGCTGGGCAGGGCATCCCTGAAAAAAGGCAGCAGCAAATCAGGAACTTATAAATAAAGTCCCACCTTCCCAGGACAGACCACCTGGGTAAAAAGGTGGTTATGAGTTCCACTGCAGGAGATGTAAATGCACCTGCTCAGCAGCTCTGAATGGAAGAACAGAGCTCACAGCCCAGCATTAGAGCTTCTATAAGGGACAGACTGTCTCCTCAAGCAGCTCCTTGACCCCTTTATATCCAAAGAGACACCTCAGAAAGGAGAGCTCAGGCTGACCTCTGGCAGGTATCTTTCTAGGATGAAGATAACAGAAAAAGAAACTGGCAGCAACTCTTAATGTTCTGCAGCCACTGCAGGTGATCCCTAGGCAAGCAGGGTCTGGAGTGGACCTCTGGCAATACTACAGCAAAGGGGCCTGAATGTTAGAAGAAAAATGAAAAAACAAAAAGATGTAACTTCATCATCAACAAAAAGAATGTCCACACAAAGACCCCATCTGAAAGACCAACTTCAAAGATCATAGGTAGATAAATCCACAAAGATGGGAAGGAACCAGTGCAAAAAGGATGAAAACACCAAAAACCAGAATGCCTCTCCTTCTCCAAGGGATCACAACTCCTCACCAGCAAGGGAACAAAGCTGGCTGGAGAATGAGTCAGATGAACTGACAGAAACAGGCTTCAGAAGGTGGGTAATAACAAACTTCTCTGAGCTAAATTAGAACATGTTCTAACCCAATGCAAAGAAACTGAGAACCTTGAAAAAAGGTTAGACGAAATGCTAACAAGAATAAATGGCTTAGAGAAGAATATAAGTGACCTGATGGAGCTGAAAAACACAACATGAGAACTTCGTGAAGCATACACAAGTTTCATTAGCTGAATCGACCAAGCAGAAGAAAGGATATCAGAGATTGAAGATCAACTTAATAAAATAAAATGAGAGGGCAAGTTTAGAGACAAGAGTGAAAAGAAATGAACAAAGCCTCCAAGAAATATGGGATTATGTGAAAAGACCTAACCTACATTTGACGAGTGTACCTGAATGTGATGGAGAGAATGAATCCACGCTGGAAAACACTCTTCAGGATATTAAGCAGAAGAACTTCCCCAAACTAGCAAGGCAGGTCAACATTCAAGTCCAGGAAATACGGAGAACACCTCAAACATATTCCTGAAGAAGAGCAACCCCAAGGCACATAATCATCAGATTCACCAGGGTTGAAATGAAGGAAAAAATGCTAAGCACAGCCAGACAGAAAGGTCAGATTACCCATAAAGGGAAGCCCAGCAGACTCACAGTGGATCTCGTCAGAAACCCTACAAGCCAGAAGAGAGTAGGTGCCAATATTCAACATCCTTAAAGAAAAGGACTTTCAACCTAGGATTTCTTATCCAGCCAAACTAAGCTTCATAAGTGAAGGAGAAATAAAATCCTTTACAAACAAGCAAATGCTCAGAGATTTTGTCACCACCAGGCCTCCCTTACAAGAGCTCCTGAAAGAAGCACTAAACATAGAAAGGAACAACCAGTGCCAGCCACTCCAAAAACATACCAAATGGTAAAGACTGACCACACAATGAAGAAACTGCATCAACCTACAGACAAAACAACCAGCTAGCATCAAAATGGCAGGATTAAATTAACACATAACAATATTAACCTTAAAAATAAATGGGCTAAATGCCCAAATCAAAAGACACAAACTGGCAAATTGGATAAAAAGTCACAACCCATTGGTGTGCTGTATCCAGTAAATCCATCTCACATGCAAGGACACACATAGACTGAATATAAAGGGACGGAGAAAGATTTACCAAGCAAAAGTAGAGCAAATAAATAAATAAACAAGCAGGAGTTGCAATCCTAGTCTCTGATAAAATAGACTTTAATCCAACAAAGATCAAAAGAGACAGCTCCTTTTACCTTTTACATAATAGTAAAAGAATCAATGCAACAAGAAGAGCTAATGATCCTAAATATATATGCATCCAATACAGAAGCACCCACATACATAAAGCAAGTTCTTATTGACCTACGAAAAGACTTCAACTCCCACACAATAATAGTGGGAGACTTTAACGCTTCACTGTCAATGTTAGACAGAACAATGAGAAAGAAAACTAACAAGGATATCCAGCACTTGATCTCATATCTGGACCAAGCAAACCTAATAGACATCTACAGAACTCTCCACTCCAAATCCACAGAATATACATTCTTCTCAGCACAACATCGTACCTACTCTAAAATTGACCACATAATTGGAAGTAAATCACTCCTCAGCAAATGTAAAAGGACGGAAATCATAACAAACAGTCTCTCAGACCACAGTGCAATCAAATTAGAACTCAGGATTAAGAAACTAACTCAGAACTGCACACCTTCATGGAAACTGAACAACTGGCTCTTGAATGTTGACTAGATAAACAATGAAATGAACACAGAAGGACACACACGGCAGAAGATGGCCGACTAGGAACAGCTCAGGATTGCAGCTCCCAGTGAAACTGCACAGGGTGAGTGGACGCCGCATTTCCAGACGGATTTTTATTGCCCACAGACCAGGAGATTCCCAGGCGGAGGAGCCCCACAGGTTGCCAGTGTGGCTGTTTTGGCCACATGGCTGCTTGCCCTTGCCCTGGCGTGGTGGTTCTCTGTACAAAAGACACTGGTCTGGGTGCCCTCTTAGCTGGCAATTGGAGCTCTGAGATGGCAGAGTCGCCCATTCATCTGAAATAGTGAGGCAGGCCAGGAGATTCCTAGGCAAACAAACCACCAGGAATCTCAGCACCACTGTTTCAGCCAGCTCAGTGACTCACAGCATGGGAGATCCCGGCACATTTTCAATGGGCAACTGGAACACTGGGAGAGAGTCGACCATTCAACAACAACAACAAAAAACCGACTCTGAGTCAGTGAGCCAGGTGATCACGCTCGGCTGATTCCACCCACCACCAACCCCCTCCCCCCCAAAAAAAAACAACAGTAATTGAAAATGCTCTGGGTTGAGAGTTTCACAGCAAGCACAGCTGAACCCCGGATGGTCCAGCTCTGTGGAGGAGGGGCGTCTGCCATTACTGAGTCACTCCACCACTACGGAAGCAGCCTGACCATCGCTGAGGCAGCCCGCCATTGCTGAGGCAACTCGCCATTGCAGAGGCAACCTGCCACTACAGAGAGAGTCCACCATAACAGAGGTGGGCCACCATTACCAAGGCAGTTCTAACTATACCCATATAAACAGGACTGCAGGGAAGATCACACAGCAGCTGGGCGGAGCCCACAGGAGCTCAGCAAAGCCTCTGCAGGCAGACAGTGACTAGGCTGCCTCCTCGCTGGGCAGGGCAGCACTGAAAGAAAAAAAAAAAGGCAGCAGCACAACGGAAACTCATAAATAAAGCCCTAACTCCCTGGGAAAGAGCACCTGGGGGGGAAAAAAAAAAGGGAGTTTATGAGTTCTGCTGCAGCAAACCTAAACATACCTGCCCAGCAACTCTGAATGAACAATGGCGCTCACAGCTCAGGACTTGAGCTTCAATAAAGGACAGACTGTCTCCTCAAACAGCTCCCTGACCCCCGTATATCCAAAGAATCACCTCGTAAAGGAGAGAACAGACAGACATTTGGTGGGCATCCTTCTGGGACAAAGATAGCAGAATAGGAAACTGGTAGCATCCCTTACTGTTCTGCAGCTGCTGCAGGTGATCCCCCAGCAAGCAGGGCCTGGAGTGGACCTCAGCAGTCCTACAGCAGAGGGACCTGACAGTTAGAAGGAAAGCTAAGAAAAAGAAGTAACTTCAGCATCCACAAACTGGAAGTTCACTCAGAGACCCAATCTGAAAGTCAGTAACTACAAAGACAACAGGTGGATGAACCCACAAAGATGGGAAGAAACCAGTGCAAAAAGGATGAAAACACCCGAAACCAGAACACCTCTCCTCCAAAAGGGATCACAACTCCTCACCAGCAAGGGAACAAGGTTGGATGGAGAAGGAGTGTGATGAAATGACAGAATCAGACTTCAGAAGGTGGGTAATAAGAAACTACAGTGAGCTAAAAGAACAAGTTCTAACCCAATGCAAAGAAACTAAGAACCTTGAAAAAAGATTTAACGAAATGCTAACGAGAATGGACAATATAGAGAGGAATATAACTGAATTGATGGAGCTGAAAAACACAACACGAGAACTTTGCGAAGCATGCACAAGTTACAGCAGCCAAATTGACCAAGCAGAAGAAAGGATATCAGAGGTTAAAGATCAACTCAATGAAATAAAATGAGAAGGCAAGAATAGTGAAAAAAAAGGGTAAAAAGGAATGAACAAAGTCTCCAAGAAATGTGGGACTATGTGAAAAGACCTAATCTACGTTTGATAGGTGTACCTGAATGTGACGAAGAGAATGAATCCAATCTAGAAAATGCTCTT